AAAATGAAGGTGATTCAGCAGAGGCTTCATACAGCGCAGTCATGGAAAAAGAGTTATGTGGACAAGAAGGTTTGAGAGGTGTCCTACATGGTTGGTGAGAAGGTCCTGTTGAAGGTTTCGCCCATGAAGGATGTTATGAAATTTAGGAAGAAAGGGAAATTGAGTCCGCAGTTCGTTGGGCCTTTTGAGGTGCTTTGAAGGATTGGGGAGGTGACTTATAAGCTTGCTTTCCCCCCTAGCTTGTCGAGTGTGCATCCGGTATTTCATGTTTCTATGCTCCAGAAGTATATTGGGGATCCGTCTCATGTTTTGGATTTCAGCACGGTTCAGTTGGATGATGATTTGACCTATGATGTGGAGCTAGTAGCTATTTTGGGTCGTCATGTTCGAAAGTTGAGATCAAAGGATATAGCTTCAGTGAAAGTGCAGTGGAGAGGTCGGCCCGTGGAGGAGGCTACCTGGGTGATCGAGCGGGAGATGCAGAGCAGATATCCTCACCTGTTTGAGGCTTCAGGTATGTTTCTTTATTCGTTCGCGGACGAACTTTTGTTTAAGTTGGAGAGGATGTGACGACCCGGCCAGTCGTCTCATGAGGTACCATCTCGTTTTCCCCATTTCTGCTTCTTTATGCTTTGTTTATCCGTGTTATGTGATATCGGGTTGGTCGGATCGAAACCAAAAGGAATTTGATAAGGTTTGAGACACTTAGTCTCTTTTGAGGGAGCTTAAGTTGGAAAAGTCAATCGGATGTTGACTTATGTGCTATAGGGATCGGAAGTGAATTCCGATGGTTCGGTTAGCTTCGTGAGGTGATTTGTGACTTAGGAGTGTGATCGGAATTAGTTTTGGAGGTACGGAGTAGATTTAGGCTTGAATTGATGAAGTTGATATTTTGGCGATTTCCGGTCTGAAGTCATGTTGTTCTTCGCCTTCGCGGGAGAGGGTGCGCATTCGCGAAGGGTAAGGTTGAGGAACCATCGCGTCCGTGATGGTCATGTCACGTTCACATAGAGGAAAATTGGTCAAAGTAATATTGTGCTTCACGAACGCGAGGGTTTGACCGCATTCGTGAAGAAGGAAATAAGGCCTGGGTAGAATGTTTTTAAACTCGTCTTGTCCGCGAGGATTGGGTTTATTTCCTCCATAGTTGGTCATTTTGGGAGATTTGTGAAGGAGATTGAAGAGGGATTTAAGGGGAATCGTTGGGAGGTAAGATTCTTGGACTTAAAGCTCGATTATTATGTAAATTCCACCTAGAAAATCATGGAAATTAAGCTAAAAATTGAAGAGCTAGGGCTTGAAAATTTGGACTTTGATTGGGGATTTGGAGGACCATTTGGGGTCGGATTTGAGAACTTTTGATATGTATGAACTTGTGGGGAGATAAGGAATCTATTGGTGTGAAAATTTCTGATTTTCGAGACATGGCCCGGGGGGTCGGGTTTTGATAATTTCGGGAATTGTGCCCTTTATTGATTATTTTCGCTTGGGCTTTGTTCCCTTAGCATATTTTGATGTCCTCGTTCTAATTTTGGATATATTCGACGTGCGTGGAGGCCTATTCGAGGGGCAAAGGCATCGCGAGCTAGAGATTTAGTCGGTTCGAGATGAGTAATGATTGTAAATGATGTTCTGAGGGTTTGAAACCCCGGATTGCACATCGTAGTGCTATATTGAGGTGAGACACACGCTTGATGACGAGCATGGGGTCGTGCACTATTGGTGATTGTGACTTGTTCTATCCCGACTGATGATTTTACCGCGTATTTGACTGAAATCTACTTGTTTTCATCATTATTTGTGCTGAATGCCATATTTCGGCCTTGTGCCAACTATTTGAGCCCTTCGGGAATTTTTATTGATATTTCCTCACTGTTTTGACTTTATACTTAAACTCAGTCATGTTATATTTCACTGTTTTCGTACTCAGCCATGTTTACTCTGTCTTAAACACTTACATGATCTTTTAAATGATATTTTTGGGCTGAGAAACATGTTTCACTACTGCCCGAGTGGCTTGTGAGGATTTTTGACTGAGTAAGGCCGGGGGCCTATGTTGTGAGGAAACACTGATACTGATTTGAGGCCAAGAGCTTGAGATATGTATGACACGAGATGGCTTGATTGATATGAGGCCGAGGGCCTAGTTTGATGCCACGAGATGACTTGTTATTGCGCTTGGGCCGTAAGGGCCCCCTCCAGGAGTCTGCACACCCCCAGTGAGCGCGGGTACCCATTGTGATGTGAGATTGAGTCTGAGGGGCTGGTATTGTTCTGAGATGTTGCCTGAGGGTCGGATTTGTTGATACTATGCCCTAGAGACGAACTTCTAATTGTTTACTTTGCCTTAACTGCCTGTCAATTACCTGTTTACTTGTTGAAAAAGGATTGTTACTTAACTTTTCACTGGTTTACTACTTTTAAATGGTTTTACTGCTTTATTATAGAATGCCTTGTGCCTTACGCATTTTCTTACTTTCAGTCATTATTTACATTTGTTACTCACTAAGTTGGAGTACTTACTTTACTCCCTGCACCCCGTGTGCAGATTCAGGCGTAGCTGGTCCCGCTCCCGAGTGCTGATTCATTCCAGCTTCAGGCAGATCTCGAGGAGTCTTTAGGTAGCTGTTGGCGTTTGCAGCTCGGAGCTCCTCCCTATCTCTTTTCCTTTATATCCTTAGTTCAATATTTACACTCTGTAGTTATATTTGAGGATACCGTGTTGTTAGATGCTCGTGACTTGTGACACCCCGGTTATGGCTGTGTCGGGTTGTACTTCCGCACTTACTTGCTATTATTCGCTACTTAGTATGATTAAATTATATTTTAGATTGTTTTTATGTTGTTTAACTGTTTTAAAAAGTGAATTGGGTTTAATTGGCTGGACTTGTCTTCACGAGAGGCGCCATCGCAATCGGGTTCGGGGTTAAGGTCGTGACATCTTTGAATTGAGTTATTTTTTGATTTCCTCCACAGTTGCAGTTGCAAGTGCGACGAACATTAGTGTTAATTTTGTCAAGATCATCCTACAAACACTTTAGCTTAGTAAAATATCCTGCAATATCATCGATCCTGCACTAAAACAACCAATTTCTTTTGCAGGTGATGCAACTTAGCACCATTTGGTTGTCCAAATTCGTATACCAAATCAGTAACATTGTCTACAATGTTCTTTATGAGGGAGTTTAATAGCCAAGATATAGCCATATTGTTACATTTATTTTAGGTTTTCAGATCTGGAGAGTTCTGAGCTGGGAAAGGTAAGATCCATCAATGAAGCCTAATTTGTTTTTGGCTGAAAGGGAAATGAGGATGAATCTGCTCCACCATGCATGTATACCCACGTCCATCAAATGGAGTATTCAGCAGCACCATCCCTGATGCATAAGCCATGAAGGAAATAAGGATGAGTTAGATCAATAACTATTACATTCCCTCCGGTTGAAGTTGTTCCTATAGAGACCTCAGAAACAAATGAAAGTGATATGATGAACTGACATGAGACTGAAGAGCAGTGATAAAAAAATCATAAAATTTAATACTTTGATACCCTGTAAAAATTCAGAGAAGTTTGAGAGAATCTTATGTATATTTCTATGTGAGTAATCATTGTACAATGCTATGTTTTTATACAAGTTTGTTTCGAAAGAAAAATACCAAAAAAAAAATGTTAATAGCTATACAGCTGTACCAATTACAACTGTTCTAAATTTTAACAAACTAACTAACTTCGATTCTCTTATATGTGCCAAATTCTTTATCCATGTGAGAAGCTTCTAGAGAGGATAATTTGGCACAACTATGATGAACATTATTTGAACGGCCTGGATTTAATGCATCATGTGCACTACTTGAACGATCGGATTTTAATCTCTCATATGTGCCTTTATGCACTAAGATGAAGCCCCATGTCAGCTTCTTTAATTTGAGATTTAGATCTAAGTCTGACTCCTTAGAATCTATTTGGCCAAGCTACAAATACTGCTTATTTTAAAAATTGCTTTTGTTTAATAGTATTTTTTAAATAAGTACTTTTGCAAAATAGAAGTTTGTGTTTGACTAATTTTGTGCTTTTTGCAAGCTCATTGTGTTTGACCAATCTTTTAAAAAAGTACTATAAGTATCAAATTACGAAAAAGTATATAATAAAGGTTCAATTTGCAATTAGTATTATTTAAAAAAAGGAAAATAAATTTAAACCTTTATTATAAAAGAATTCAATTAAAATATAAAATGTAAAGTAAAAATATAAATTAAAAATTTCAATCAATATAAATTAAAAATTTCAATCAATATAAAATATAGTTATTCCAAAGCAATAATATTAAGTTCTTGGTATTACTTATTGTTTACATGATAATTTAAATATGTCGAAATACAAAATTCAATATAAATTTAAAATAATCTATTAGGGATAAGAGAAAGAGTAAAAATATGATTAAAATAAAAAAAGAGAAGAAAGGTACATAGAAATAAACAGGAAAGGGGAAAGGAAAAGAAAAATGTTACTCCCTCCGTTTCAATTTATGTAAACCCATTTGACTGGGCACGAAGTTTAAGAAAAGAGAGAAATTTTTTGAACTTGTGGTGTAAAATGAAGCACATATATTTTGTGTGACTATAATCATTGCATAAAGGTAAACAGTTTCCAAATAGGGAAAGAAGTCATTCTTTTTGGCACGGACTAAAAAAGAAATAGGTTCACATAAATTGAAAAGGAGGGAGTAAATTAATGAGGTATCATTTAGAAAATATAAATTTATTGTAACATTATTTTTGTTTCTCGGCCAAACAAATTAAATTTCCTAGTCTGTTTACTGGCAAAATAAATGGTAAATACTTTCCGGGGCTTGCAGAATAAAAAGGTTATAGAATTCCTGGAGGTCATGAGCCGATTTCGTCTAGAATTAGGATTTAATTTACTTTTCCTCCTTGTATTATGACTCCTTAATTTATAAAATTCCTGCAATCATCTTTGGGTTCCTTCGAAAATTTGTACCATGGCGAGAGCAACAGGTGACATATTACCTGATTACCTCATCCACAAAATACTCTCTTACCTTAATCCTGAGGAAGCTGCCCCGATGAAGATTATCTCCAAAACATGGCTACATGTCTGGTTGATGACTAAAGCCAACTTAGTATTCGATGTTCGTTCTCGCAAAGACATTAGAATAGTGGATAAAATTATGGAGATATATCGAGACAGAAAATTTCCTATTGACGAGTTTGTATTTCAAAGCATTAGAGAATTTGATTCTCGTGAAGTCTTTTTTTTGTATGATAAGTGGCTTGGCGTTGCTCTTCAGAATGGTGTAAAAGATCTCGTCTTTTAATTTCCTGGCTTCTCATACCACTTTCCAATTTTTAAAATCTTGGCACCAAAATCTTTAAGAAAATTGGTTCTGAGGGGTTGTGATTTGACGCGTTTTTCATTATCTAGTAGTCTGGCGAACTGTGATTCATTAAGAAAGCTTTCTCTTTCTTATGTTCGTTTAGACGAACAGATGCTTCAGGCTTTACTTACTAGCTGTCCGTTGATTGTCAGTTTGACCCTCGAGCATTGTGGCGGGTTGACAAAGATTGAGCTGCTGAATCTTCAAAAGATTAGGTCAGTTTCCATTGGGATGAACAGAAACCAACATGTTAAAATCCACACACCAACTCTGGAACACTTGTCTTATTTTGGTGCTCGAGAAAATTTACCTATGTTGGATATTGTTGAACGACAAAATCTGAAATCTTTAGAGATATTTGGTGAGCGGAGGCCTATTTGGTATCTTGATCAAGTGACTGGAAAAATCAGCCTCATGAAAGAATTGGAGTCATTCTACAATTCTCATGGATAAACAAAAGTTGTAATACTTCTGTCAGTAGTACAATTTGATTTTATTAATGTTAGCTGATAGCTTTTGTTTTCTATATTTAAAACAATGAATTAAGGAAAAAGTTACATATTACTTGTTTTTTTTCTATTGTTTGACTAAAATTCCAAATTGCATCTCATAGAAAAGGAGACTTTAAGTCAGTTCTTTAGCTTTGCATATTAACTAGACACTGGAAAACTTTAATCAGATTTATATTATTTAGTGTAAAGTCTACTTCTACAGATATTTTATTTTGAATCTGTCCCTCCCCCTCCCCCAGCCCAAAAAGAAAAAACAACAACATATGTAGGAATATTTCATTCCTTTTATGCATGATAGGCCGTTGTAATACGAACATTCTCTATGTCTGGTTAGATAATTGTTCTCGTTGAGTCTGCAGCATCATTGAATATTTCTTATCCTGTAGAGTAGGCAAAGATCTTTCTGTTGTAAACACAATTCTGTTCTGTAGCTTTGTGATGCTATTAGATCCTTTTGCTTCTTGTTGCTTTGTTTGGTTTAAAATCGTGTGAACGGGAGCATGGTAAAGTTGTCTGGTGTGGCCTATAGGTTACGAAGAATCTTAGTATTTACACTCAACCGTTATGCATCTATTAAGAGGGGTCTTTAATCATATTAAAGAGGAGCTTGATTTGAGAATCTTGTCTCCCTTAATTTAGCTATAAGTAAAGGAATCTGTACTCATTGTAACGACACGAAATATTTATACGAAAAAGGTTGATTTTGCTGTCTTACTCTATTAACATCATTTTGCTAAATACTTTGCTCTTGTTCTTGCTTCCGGAGAAGCTCAATTCAAAGCCCGGCTTGTACTTTCTTCAAGTATTTTAAATTAATCTACTTATTTCTCTTTGTTAATTATTATATATTCTCGGATCAATTTAATTCACATATCTATAAATTATGTTACAAATTTAACAATGCTGTTTTACGGATAAACATAGTGGTATTGTCACAACCATAAAATCGACCTGGTTGTGATGGCGCCTATCGTGAAACTAGGCCAGCCGACACAATTCTCAAATCAAACCATTATTCTATAAAAGCCATTTTAAGCCATTAATTAACAAGAAATCTCATAATGAAGTCTAAATGATCAATGCAGAATGGATACACAATCCCGACATCGGGGTGTCACAAGTCACGAGCAACTACATCTCTGTCTCAATATAATAAAGTCTAAACAAGACTGGAGGACTATACTAAATAAAGCTAGGGAAGATAGGAGGGAGAAGAATAGGGATGTGAACGCCATGTAGCTACCTTGTCGACTCCGAAATCCTGATGAATGGACAAATCAATGCTCACTATCGCGACCCGCAACTCCTGGATCTGTACACAAGGTGCAGGGAGTTATGTGAGTACGCTAGCTCAGTAAATAATAAAAGTAAATGAAAGCTGAGCAGTAAGAAAGCACATAATTTCTCGTCGTAACCCTACAATAAATACAACACATTGCTCAAAACAGTACAGAAACCATTTTTCTTGTAAAACAATTCAGTTTTCAGTAAAACCTTTCCTTTTAAAACAGCTTTTAATAGTTTCAAATGAGTGATGAAAACAGTGAGAAAAAGATAGAAACATAAAAGGCCCCTCGGGCAAAAACATGTACCATAAACTGCCACTTGGGCATAATATCAATAGAACCAGCCCCTCGAGCTATCTCACAATCACTCGAAATCAGCCCCTCGGGCATAACATGAATCAAGAACCGCTCCTCGGGCAAAATATGGATCAAGAACAGCCCCTCGGGCAACAATATGAATCAACAACAGCCCCTCGGGCTACATTACATAACTCACACTGAGTACCCACACTCACTGTGGGTGTTCAGACTCCAAAGGGGCTCCTACAGCCCAAGCGCTATAACAAGCCATCTCGTGGCATAATTAATCAGGCCCTCGACCCTACATAACAACAAGCCACATTGTGGCATAAATCAATCAGGCCCTCGGCCTCACAATATCATGAATCAGTACAACATGTTGCGGCACGCAGCCCGATCCTATAATATCCTCATAACACAGGCCTTCGGCCTCACTCAGTCGGAAACCTCTTAAGCCACTCGGGCAACAGTAAAATAGAAAACTCAGCCCAAAATATCATTTAAAGTATCAAAACGGAATAAAGACGACTGAGTTATGAAATCAGTAAAATACAGCATGACCGATTACAGATAATAAGTCAAAACAGTAAGGAATAGTCGTAAAACGCCCCTAAGGGCCCAAAAGAGTTGGCACGCGGCCCAAATATGACATTCAGCTCAAAACATAGTAATACTTTCCAAAACACAATGATATCAAATATTTTTCAATCGAAGATGCGACTTAATAGTCGTACAGGACGGACAAAGTCACAATCCCTAATGGTGCACGGCCTCACACTCGTCATCTAACGTTTGCATCACCTCAAAGTAGCACAACGATGTGATCCGGGGTTTCATACCCTCAGAACAATATTTACAATCATTACTTACCTCAATCCGGTCCAAACTCTATCCTGCGATGCCTTTGCCCCTCGAATCGACCTCCAATTGCTCCAAATCTAACCAAAATCAGTATCATACCATTAATACACGCTAAAGGAACAAAGCCCAAGCAAAAATAATAAAATTAACTCAAAAATTCTGAAATTGACCAAACCCGACCCCGGGCCCACGTCTCAGAATTTGATAAAAATTACATCAATCGAATCCTCATCCCTCCACGAGTCCATACATACCAAGAACATCAAAATTGGACCTCAAATCCCTAATTTACACTCTCCAATTTCAAGCCCTAGTTCTCCAATTTTAGGCTTTAAATCGTACTAATTTCATGCCTAATTAGTTAGAAATCACCATAGAATCGAGTATTGAGTTCAAAAATCGTACCTCCAAGTGTTATCCCTTGAATCCCTCTTCAAATCCTCTCAAAAAGCTCCAAAACTGCTCAACAATGGTGGAAAATGGGCTAAAAATTGCGAAGACAACTATTTAAACATTCTGCCAAGGTATCAATTTCCTTTTTTGCGAACGCGACCGCCCTCTCGTGTTCGCATAGACCAAATTATACTGGCTCTCCTCTTTACTCTTCGCGAACACAAACATTTCCACGTGAACACGATGCTTTGCAAGCCCAGGCTTTCACGAACGCGACCCTAATCTCGCGAACGCATAGACCAAGGACCTGGAGTCCTCAATGGCCTCACTCCTCTTCGCGAATGTGACCACAATCATGCGTCCGCGATGCACATGCTGCCTTAACCTTCACGTTCGCGTCCTCTCCTTCGCGAACGCGTATAAAAAAATCACCACCACAAAAGACACCCTTCGCAAATGCGATACACCCACGGCGAACGCGATGAACAAAATCTCTGCAACTCTCAAAACGAAGAATTTGGTCCGTTAACCACCCGAAACTCATCCGAGGCTCTCGGGACCTCAACCAAATATGCCAACACATCCCATGATAGCATTGAAACTTAGTCGAGCCTTTGAATCACTCAAAACAACACCAAAACACCAAATCAACCTGAGATTCAAGCTTAAGAACTTAGAACTTACCAATTTTGCAAACGATCAAAAAGGATATCAAACCTCACCCGAATGACCTGAAAGTTTGCACATAGGTCACAAATGATACAACGGACCTACTCAAATTTCCGGAATTTCATTCTGACCCCGATATCAATTTCCACTGCCGACCGGAAAACCAAATTTCTAATTTCGTCAATTCAAGCCTAACTCTACCACGGACCTCAAACAGAGCTAACCAAATCATAAAAATCCAAATCCGATATGAATACTAAAAAGTCAAAACTTGGTCAAACCTTTCAAATTTAAAGCTTCAAACTGAGAATTTTTCTCCCAAATCTATTCCGATTATCCTAAAAATCAAAACTGATGATTTACATAAGTCATAATACATCATATGGAGCTAGCCATGCCCGAGAACTCTCGAGCGAAGTGCAGATTCTCAAAACGACCGATCGGGTCGTTACATCCTCTCCCACTTAAATATGTGTTTGTCCTCGAACGTGCCTAGAGTTGTTTCGAAAGCCATCGAATCACTGTGTAACCCTACCATGTGTCACACCTCCTTTTTACTACCCTCGGAAGGGGTATAAGGGAGTTTTGTCCAATTTAAGTGACAATCAGGATTATTTTTATTTAAAATTCAGAGTCGCCACTTGGGATAATTTATGGTGTCCCAAGGAACCTGTTTTAAATCCCGAATCAAGGAAAGATTGACTCTGTTTTACAGTCCGCAAACACAGAAATTCGGGTAAGGAATTTTGTTAACCCGGAAGAAGGTGTTAGGCATTCCCGAGTTCTGTGGTTTTAACACGGTCGCTCAACTGTTATTATTGGCCTGTTTATTTGATTTTTAAACACTTTCAAACCTATGTGCATTTTTGACTTTGAAACCGCTTTTAATATTATTTTTAGGAAAATTCAACATTATCTAAAATACGCCTTGAACCACGCCACATGAAATACACCCGCAGTCCACAACACATTTAATCTAACGTTGTTGAGATTTGGATTTGGGTCACATGAAATGCACACCCGAGTTTAAGGAAATTAATTTAAATTATGCGGCTAAAGCAACTACGCACTTTCAAGTTGTGAGGTCCATGGAAAATTCAACTAATTGGCACACCTCGATTTCTAAAGAGTTAAAATTATTTAAGTGAGGGCCATGAGTTTTGAGATTTTATTTGGCATGGCACGCCTCAAACTTATTTAGGAGTCTAACTAATTAAAGACTGCTTAGAGGAATTCGAATTACTTTTAAAGCTAAAGGTTCGAACCTACTTAGCAACTAACAGGCATCGCATTAAGTGACCAAATTATATAAGGAAAATTGCTTCAACAATAGCGACTAAACGAGGAAACTAGGTTCAACAAAACAAAACAGACCCAAATAACATAAAGTATACAATCCCATTTTCAAGTGCCTTAGGGCTTAGGCCCAAGG